AACGGAAAGAACACGGCTGGAGGAATATCAATACCAAATTTCAAACTCTACTATAAAGCCATAGTAATCAAAACAGCTTGGTATTGGCATAAGAACAGACCTCAGGACCAATGGAATAGAATTGAAAACCCAGAAATGAACCTACAGACCTATAGCCATCTAATCTTCGATAAGGGAGCTAAAACAATAGAATGGAAGACAGACAGCCTCTTCAGTAAATGGTGCTGGCAAAACTGGTTAACTACATGTAGAAAACTAAAGCTAGATCCTTATATATCACCCTGCACCAGAATCAACTCCAAATGGATCAAAGACCTTGAACTCAAAGCAGACACTCTGAAAACATTACAGGATGGAATAGGAGAAACCCTGGGTCTCCTCGGCTCAGGCCGAAATTTTCTGAATAGAGACCCGGAAACACAACAAATCAAAGAAAGGTTGGACAAATGGGATTGTATAAGGTTGCAGAGCTTCTGCAGGGCAAATGTCATAGCTAGCAAGATCAATAGAAAGCCCACGGATTGGGAGAAGATCTTTACTAGCCATACAACGGACAAGGGTCTCATATCTAAAATATACTTGGAACTCAAAAAATTAAACCACCCAACAACAAATCCTCAAAGAAACAACTGCCCAATAAGTAAGTGGGCGAAAGACCTAAAGAGAAGCTTCTCTGAAGAAGAAAGAAGGATGGCCAATAGACACATGAAGAAATGTTCAACATCCCTAGCCATAAAAGAAATGCAAATCAAAACAACATTGAGATATCACCTCACTCCAGTTAGAACAGCAAAAATCAAGAACTCTAACAACAACAGATGCTGGAGGGGATGTGGACAGAAAGGAACCTTACTTCATTGTTGGTGGGAATGTAAACTTGTTCAACCACTTTGGAAAGCAGTATGGAGTTTCCTCAAAAGACTCCATATAGAGCTCCCCAATGACCCAGCAATCCCACTTTTGGGCATTTACCCAAATGACCACAAACAAGGCCACACTAAAGCTACCAGCACAACTATGTTTATTGCAGCATTATTTACCATAGCTAAGATATGGAACCAACCCAGATGCCCCTCAGTAGATGAATGGATCAAGAAGATGTGGTATATATACACAATGGAATTCTATGCCTCCATCAGAAAGAATGACATTGCCCCATTTGTTAGGAAATGGAAAGGCTTGGAAAAAATTATATTAAGTGAAGTAAGCCAGGCCCAAAGAAACATAGGTCCCATGGTTTCCCTTATTTGCAATATCTAGTATAGGTATGATTCAAGGGGAAAAAGTCAGAGAATGTGATGTTAGGAAAACGAACCCTCAAATATGTATTTTAATGTTTTTGTTTCATTCATGCATGTGTTTCTAACGCATTTATAATATTATTTCTTTGTTGCTTTGTATGTCCCTCCCCCACAGTGTAACCCCCGCTTTCACTATATTTGATGTCAGTATAACATGTGGAGGAGACGGGGACAAACAAGTCGTTTAAGGATTCAGGTGGACCTGTTGCAACAATGAGAAGTACAAAATGTCATGTCAAAACCAGCTTTACAATGTCGGTGGGGGGGAGGGAGGGGGGGTATGATTGGGTGGGGGGGAGGGGGCAGGCTGGGAAGGGAGGTGAAGGGTAAACAAAGGAGGAGGCTGCAATGCTTGGTAAGAAATGTATGCATTTTCCTGCCCATGTAATTGTAACCCCTCTGTACAGTATGTTTTCAAATAAAATAAAATAAAATAAAATAAAAAATAAATAAATAAAATAAAATTACCATAGTGCCAAAGTAGGTAAACTTCCAAATTTAACATTCGTTAAGTGAATTGGAAAGTGATCTTCTCAATTTCAACACTTAACAACAGAAACCCCCCAAAATATAGTCAGTTATTATGAATGTACATGTAATTATAAAAGAAGATTTGAAGCCAGGCATGATGGCTCATGCCTGTAAGCCTAGCCACTCAGGAGGCTGAAATCTGAGCATTGCGGTTCAAATCGGGGCAGGAAAGTCCATGAGACGCTTATCTCCAATTAACTACCAGAAAACTGGAAGTGGCCCTGTGGCTCAAGTGGTAAAGTGCTAGCCTTGAGCTGAAGAGCTGAGGGACCCTGCCCAGGCCCAGAGTTCAAGCCCCACGACCAAAAAAAAAAAAAAAAAAGTTGATCATATAGCAATACATATTTACTCCATTTCAGCATTTCCATTTGTTTCAATAATAAAATATTGAAAGTAGGACACTGGAAAGTTTATTTAGCTCAAGATCTAGAGGCTTAAAGGTTTGGCTCTGGTGAAGACCTGACTCTGATGACGGCCTGATGATAAATGGCATCATTGGCCACAGTGGGAGACTACATGGAGAAACAGGAAACCTGAGACCGAAAGACCGGCCATTCTTGCTCTTCATATAAGCATCCTTCCAAGAAAAATGGCGCAGGGTCCCATGAACATTAATCTCTTCTAGGGTCAAAAAACAATGACTTGCTAAAGGCTCCACCTCTTGAAAGTTTCACCTCTTGCCTCAGGACCTCATTATCTGTTCCAGGCCACTGAGGCTAAAGACTTTAACAGAAACTTTAGGGGCTTAGATCTTAAATTGATTTACACAGATTCAATATGTAAATAGGTAGATTATGGAAAGAGGAATTGATAGAATACGTATACAGACATATGTCTCTATCATCTATTCATGGAGATCATACCCACATACATGCATACTTAAGATTTGAAAGTGTTCCAGCTCTAATTTAGGCAAATTTACAACACACATAAATCAAAACATGACTTCCAAAAAAATTACCACCCCAGCTTCCTGTAAACCCTTCCAAATAACAACAATCTACTACAGAATATCCAATAAACTTAATTTGCTATTTCTACAGGCTTTATGGAACTGTAGTAGATAAAGTATTCAATGAAAATTATTAGTAGTGGTTTAACGTGTTTTTATTTTAAAGAAAGTTCTTAGAGTTCTTTCCAGTTTTGTCTTGTATGGCACACTTTATTCTTCAGGATCCTAGAGGCCTTCTAAGGAAAGCAGAGTCCTATCAGGAAAGAGCAGTACATACTGCAGCCCTGTGAGGGTGTGGTGTTTTCAGGAATGGAATCAGATTTAATTAAAGCAGCATTTGTGGTTGGTATAAACAGGACAAGAGAGAGTTATGTTTATACAGACATAGATAATCCATAAAATTTCTCACATTAACAAGTGTGATGAAATTTGAAGGTCAGTACAATAGAACTAGATAATTACATGAGACTAAGAGCCTAGTGTCCATCCTAGCATTGCTACAGACCTAAACATGTTTAGCCATCATGACTCTCCTGTGTTTTAGCTGCAGCTAATTAAAGTGTAGGCTCGAGTTCACTTAAAGTACTCATCTGGTCCTAGAAAATTAGTTTTATCGTGCATTACTGACTATGGTAGAGGTTAAGATTCACTGAAAAGTTATACACAGGAGGAAAGCAAAGCATTTTCATATGATTCATAAATTATATATTTTGATCAAATTAAATGCATACCATAAGAATACATTTCTTCATTGAATGTTAAGAACTCCTCATCACATCATAAATAAGAGATTAACATTTTCACAATGGATAATCTGATATGTAAAACAACTAAAAAAGCTGATAAAATGGAAAATAATTAATTCTGAATTTGAATTAGCTATTTAATTTACTAGATTTCTATTGTAGTTAGCATTTTTATTTTTTAATCACTTAACTATTTTAACTATTAATTTGCAAAAGTAGATTCAAATAAATATTGTAATAGATTTCCTAAATGAACTTTTTCTGATTTATTCAAGTGTTATAAAATATGTAACACTTAATGTATGATTTTTTTTTTCTTTTTGGTCAGTTGTAGGGCCTGAACTTTGGGCTGGGGGCTGTCCCTCAGCTCTTCAGCTCAAGGCAAGTGTTTTAGCACTTGAGCCATGGTGCCACTTCCAGTTTTCTGGTGGTTTATTGGAGCTAAGAGTCTCATGGACTCTCCTGCCCTGGCTGGCTTTGAACTGTGATCCTCAGATCTCAGCTTCCTGAATAGCTAGAATTATAGGCTTGAGCCACCAGTATCTGACTTGTATGACTTTTATAGAGATATCTTTATTTCCACAAAAAATGCCACTTTTCAAACTTTAAGGAATTAATACCAGCTCTGTGCAAGAGGTACATCATGTATCTAAGAGATGTTTACGATGATTACATGAATGAATTACTTGTTTTCTCAGTAAAACCTAAGAATAAGTGAAGGTTTGCTTGCTTTTGAAATGGTTGGAGAGAAAAGAGTTATACATAATGTTTGGAAACCCAGTACCATCCAAAATAACACAAAACAAAACTTGTTTTCCTTTTCACAGAAACAACTCATCCAACTACTGTTAGCTTTCAATATTATAGTGCCATTTTAAGCTAATATTATTGTTTCTTTGAACACAAGAATGGCACATATGATGTATTTAATTTATGAAAATGTGTGTGAGAAAGTGAAAGACATTATCTAGGAAAGTGAGAACATAAACTATTGGGAATTTTAAGTAAAAATTAGTAGTACACAACTTAACAGTGCCTTCTAAACCAAAAGAAATCATGATAAATCTTATTATACCAGAAACTCCACTGCAGTGTTTTGTACATTTGAGAGGAGTAGGATTAGGAAGCTCTTTACGGGAGACTTACTCACTGAAGTAATTTCCATTCTTTAAAAAAAAAAATTAAAGCAGAGGGCTGGGAAGTTGGCTCAGTGGTAGAGTGCTTGCCTTGTATGCATGAGGCCCTGGGTTTGATTCCTCAGCACCACATAAGCAGAAAAAAGCCTAAGTGGTGCTTTGGCTCAAGTGGTAGGGTGCTGAGGGACATTACTCAGGCCCAGAGTTCAGCCCCATGACTGACCAAAAAAAAAAAAAAACAAACAAAACTGTAAGTACTTATCCCAGGGAATATTTCCCAATGAGTAATTACCAGTAAACTCTGAATTATAATGTATTATACTTTGTCTTCCAGGCAACACAGCTAAGGTGTACATTGAGATTCAGGATGAAAATGATCACCCCCCAGTGTTCCAGAAGAAATTCTACATTGGAGGTGTATCAGAAGATGCAAGAATGTTTGCGTCTGTACTCAGAGTGAAGGTATGAGAAAATAAATCAAGGGAGCAGAACTAAAACCAGAGTTCTGATTTTTGCAAGTAAGCGCATACTTTGCATTAACTATGTTTATTGATATTACAAGTACAAAAGTCTGAAACTCAGAGCTACATGAGATTAAATATCCAATTTAAGCACAGATTATTTATATGAGGTGAGCCACTAAGCACATTTTGTACCTTACTTTCATTTAAAAATAGAAACAATTTTCTTATGATGTTCTACCTTGAATAATATATTGAAATACAAATGTACTTGTTTTTTTTTAATTTGGTCTCTGATTAACAATAGTTCCAGTGAAATTTGAGTCAGAAAAGTTTCCTTAGGTAATATATTAGAATATTTATTTGAATTTATTTTTGAAAATATAATTACTTCTTTCTTGTTTTTTATCTGCCTTGAAAGTTGTGTGTAAGCATTAAACTATATGTGAGACATCTTTTGAGTTTTTTATTTTTTACTTTTTGCCAGTTGTGAAGTGTGAATTTAGTACTTCACAATGACTTGCCTTACATACTCACTTGGTTTACTACCATGTGAGCCATGGTTCCAGTCCACGTTTGCTGGTTATTTTGGAAATTGAGTGTTGCCATAGTTTCTCCCTGGGATGGCTTTGAAATGTCATCTTTCAGAGCACAGTGTCCTGAATAGCTAGGATTGTTGTAGTGAGCCACTCATTCTCTGATGAGATTCCATTTTTATGCTAGTGAAAAAAATGTCTATTTATCAGTAAAGATGTCATGACGGAAGGATTCTAGTATTTGATGATGAAACAGAATTATCATACAGGCAAGTGGAAAAGCTTCAATTTTTAATAAAAAAATTCTGTAACCTTTTAATTCAAAGTGCTGATTAAACTACTAATTTTAGCATTTTAAAAATCCTTCCTTTTTCAGTAACTTTGGCTTATATTTCAATGTTTTAATATATGAAAACAAAAGCTAATAATATCAAATTTTCTTTAATATGCTCAAATATATTTTTGATTTTTAAAAAGATTAGCAATGCAAATAATTGCAATGGTTTTATTGTGTGAGGTATATGTACAAGTCTTACACTTTATCAGGTGAAGAGTATAGGGGGCCAATACATTTAGATTGTTCATTACAGAGTTTTTTTTAAGTATTTTAATAATCATTTCAATACACAAACATTATCTTATATAACTTCAACAAATGTAGATTTTGATTGTTGTGGATTTGCATGTAAATTTTTGTCCTTTTCCTATTAGCAGAAGCTTCATGAATAGAGCTCTTTTGTTTCTTTTTTACATTTTTATTAGCATATCCTAGCAGTACAAAAGTCTTTTGTTGTCATATTACCTTAGACTAGTGACATATACCCTGATCAAATTGGCCCTTTCTATCAAGTCTTTTAAAAACAATTTCAACAATTTCCCTATACATTTGTATGCAAATGCAAACAATGATGCAAGAAAAAAGAAACCTTTATATGTTCTTGTGTGGATGTAAAGTCTTGTGTATGCTATGGAAATAAGTGTGAAGGTTACTCAAAAGCTGAAAATATTATTGCAATATGATCCAGTGATAGAACTTCTGCACATACATCTGAAGGAATCCATATAATCATGCCTGAGGTTCTTGCACATCTGTGTTTATAGCAGCAGTGTCCACAATATTTAAAATACAAAATCAGTCTAAGTGTTCAACTACTGATGAGTGGATAATGACAATATGCTATACACACATATATGAGTATATATGTATATATGTGTGTACATATGTGTACATGTGTGTGAACTGAATATTACTCTACCAAAAAGTAGGTATATACTTATTCTTATGGGAAATTATTTCAATTCCAGGGTACTTGACTTATCCCAAAGATTGGTGTTTCACTGATTGAATCATTTTCCACTAGGCTCCATCTCTTATAGATCTGATACCTTTCAATACTTTGAGAACAAAGATTCAGCATGTGAGACTGAAGGGGAAAACATTGTTCAAACCACATCAATGTGACCTGAAAGCTTCTGCTTCAGGGAAATTGAGATAAGGTGTCAAAGATGACTGAGCAGCATTATAAGCAGCATTTGAGAGACATGACTGTCTTGCCTCTAGGTTCTGTTTTATGTAAGGCATGAGAGCCACTCCTCAGGAGAATTGTGAAAAGCAGTATATTGTTTAAAGGAAAGAAATGAATTGTCATCATGATCTTAAGGAAAAAAGTAAGTTTGGAGAGCTTGATGATAGGAAACATTTGGCATTGGAGAAAAAATGAGTAGGAAATTAAGTTGTAGATGGTTTGTAACCACATGGGAAGTGTCTAATGGTGAAACAGCATATTCTGGAGAGTCATATGTAAAGAGAACAGCTCACCCAGATTGATAAAGATGAGAATTTGTCAATGATATTGTGAAAGTATAGTTGGAAAACCATTTGGCTATTAGAGCAGAAATTGCATTGTGGAGTCAAATGAAGGAAACCTTTCAGTTGTTGTTAGAACCTAAGAAGTGTTTTAGGAGGATGAAGTACTTCAAAGTGGAGGAGGTGTTTTTGAAGGACGAAATATTTCAGAATGGCATTGAAAGTGATTAGAAGTCATAAGGGCAGCTTATTTGAGGAGGGTAAAAGAAGAAGTAAAGAGCCAAACAGAAGAAATAAAACTATACATTTGTGGAATAGGGATGGGGCACAAAGATTAGACTGGTGCAAACAAAGAGTCTCAATGAAAGTTTCCTTTACTCCAGAAATGTGGAATCTCCTCTTCCTCCTCCCCTCATCCTTTTTTATTTTCTTTCTTTCTTGTCCCTAGAATTCCATCAGTCTGGAATTCCTTAACTCTGGAATAAGTTACACCAGTCTTATCATTTCATAAAATATTATTTTAAGAAAAGAATTCAAATAAAAATATCATTGAAAACAGTAGTGACTCAGGCTGGCTGTAGAGTTTAAAAAATAGTTGGTTTTTAAAACGTGAACTGGCCCAGGCTTGTGAAAGAGATTTTTATACCACTTACTATATAACATTAGAGTAATGTCAGATTTTATTGAGCGTGAATGAAAGGTGATTTGTTTTAGTTTACAATAAAGGGTAGAATGTTAAAAGTTCACATTTTAAAATAACTTGCATGCAAGCAAAAGAAGGAGAAATATTACGTAGAACAAGAACTACACCAGAGTTCAAGCCCCATGACTGACAAAAGCAAATAAATAAATAAAACTAGGAAGCAAAAGATCTTTTATATATCAATGATGAATGGAGAATGATATTAACAGCTTAGAATACTAATCATAGATTTAATGCACTATTTTAAAAAATGTGTGAAATGAAAGATAGAACCATAAGATTCTTTTTGAAATTCATGATCTAATATAAGTAAAAGAGATCAGATAAGGTGATGTTAATTGAAATGAACCCCAAGAAAGGGACAGAAATCTTCATCCTGCTGATCACACACCAGGGACAGCCCAGGAACCAATAGTCTGGCATGAGTAGAACCCTGACATCCTCATTCCTTCTCAGGGAATAGCAGTGGGAAGGCCATCCTCTCCCACCACCAGAGAAGAACTCCATCTTTGATATTGACAAAGGCCAGGCCTAGCAGCAAGCTCCAACTCAGGCCTTGGAAGAATACAATCAGAGCCATTCACCAGGTCACAGGAACCTGACCTGACCTGCCAGGCTCAGCTCCACCCAGGGGAAAGTTACCCCTCTCAGGCAGAGATATCTCTGCTCCCTGAGGATTGACTTTCTTCACTGGGTAAGCAGAGCTAGAGGCTCCCCCTCCTCACTGCAGCCTAAACAAACAATTGGAACTCAGAATGTCTCCAGGCTGGGCTCTGTGAGTGTCTCAGGAACTATCCCCACAGGGAAAAGTTACTGATTGCTGATAGGCCTCAACCCTAGCCTCAACACAGTAACTCCAAACTAGAGGACAGCCATCTCCTTCTTTTGTGATACTCAAAGCAGATCTCCCTCCCACTGAACTAGCTTGGGAGGAGGATCACAAAGTCCTGGTTAAGGCAGAGCTGTCTGCATGCTCAAACAAACTGACTTAAGAAACCAATCAAGCCACAGGAAAACAAAACACCACAAGTAGACCTGAGACTCCACCAAGAGACTGGTTACAGACATAGGGGAAATACAAGATCTCCCCCCACCAAAAAAAAGTCAAAGAACTCTTTTTCCTACCTATTTTGTGTTATTTTTTAAAATTGTTCTTTATTATATTTTCTTTTTTCTTTCATAATTTTTATTTTAGGCGTGTATGTGTGTGTGTGCTTTTTAAAAAAAATCTCTTTTGACCTTTTGGTCTTTTTTTTCTTTTTTTCTCTTTTCTCTTTCTTTCTTTTTTTGCATGACTTAATAGCTGTTCTATTCATCTGCTGATATGAACCCTTCTTCAATTATTATACCTTATCCCTCATTGTGTACAGACTTAATCTAGAAACTTATTGCTCAATTCACAACCTCTTAAACTTAAATTCCTTAATAATAGTATTATTTCTTTATACCTATATAACTTTCAAGTATTCCAATTTTAAGAATTTTTATTTTTTCATTTTTCCTTTTGTCTTTCCCCTCCTCTCATTCTATCCTTTTCTTCTCTCAATATCATTTCTCTACACTTATATAATTTTAAGTGCTTTATTTTTTTTATTTAAATTTTTGTTTTGTCCATTTTTAAAAAATATTTCTCCTATCATTCTGTCCTATCTATTTCCCTCTCTAAGATTAAGATTTGGTTAAATATGTTCTCTTTTTAACTTCTCCACATCCCTCTAATCATATTTTTCCCCACAATTCTCCTTAAACCTAATAATTTCTGGTTTGCCAAATTCTTCTTTGCTGTTGTTAGCCCATTAATCCATAGTCGTTTAATGTTGAATAGATTGTATCTATTGAACTAGATTGTATCTGCAGCCATTTTGACTGCATAACTACAGGACTCTGGTTGATGCTTGCCTTAATATAGTGTTCTAGCACAAAATTGGTTTTACTTTCATACCAAATGGGCAGAA